AGCTAGGTTGTTTTGTCACACCCCCGCGATGTTGTTGAACCAATTAGACACATCTAGCATGGCTGAAAAAGTTGTGCCTTCGTCACCGCCGCATGAGTTAGTCAACAACTGCCCAGAACCACTCCACATGATCAACACATGCCATCCTTGTCAGCCCACACATCTGATTTCCTTTGCCAACGTGCCAAGCCATGCCCAGCCCCATGGCATGGTCTTCCAAAAATGCAATGCACCTCAATTGAAGGCCACACGACAATGCCTTGCTTGTTTTCATGTGCCCAACATACCCACGCATGTGTTGCCTTTCTCAACCATACATGTATTGCCTTCCTCAGCCATACATGGGGCTTCCACCAGCACTGAGAAGGAGCCATCTTTGCAACACGGGAGTGCTTAGACAAGCACATCCCCACCTTGGCTAAGACATGGGGTGTTGTTGGGCGGGGCACCCACATGCCATAGTCATGCCAACGAGCTAAGGGCCTAACAATAAGCCTCCTTAAGCTAGAAAAAAAACTAGAAACTATCTAGAGAGCTAAGAAAACAATTCTAGCCTCCCTAAATCCAAAAGGCCACAAAATCTACCTAGATCATTCTTATATTTACACCTTCAACCTTGAAAAGTTAGAAAGATCTTTTAGAAACAATTAAACCAACATTGGAGAACAAAATCTAAGGAGGATTCTAAGAGATTGAGGAAGATTCCAAGGGTGGATCGTGCAATTCAGTTTGTTAACTCGTGAAACTATTACTCAAGTGCTTGTGGTAGACTCTAGAGTGAAGATTTAAGTTTAGAAAACATCTAATAGTGGACTTGGTTGATTAATAAGCCTTTAGTTCTTGCAATCTAACTTTGAATACAGTGGATTAGATCAGGTGGATCAGTGTTTTGAAAAACTCGCCTAGGCGAGAAGCGAAGTGAGGGTTTGTCGCCTTGAGCACCCCAAGCAGAGCGAATATGACTGAAACAAGAAAAACAAGCGTCTCACGCTTAAGAGAAAAGCGAGAAAGCAAGCACCTTAGTTATGCGAGGCAAGATTGTCTTGAATTGTTTTATTTTTATTATGGACCGTTGGATTAGGGCAATTGAAAAAAAAATTATAAGATGCCCATAAACCCAATTACCCTCTATCCCATAAATACAACACCCACACCCTAATTTTGCTCAAAGGACGAGTGCTGGCTGCTGCTGCTCCTTCCTCTTTGGTCCACACACAGGTTTGTCTCCTTCTTTTTTTCTTCTCTCTTTTGTTTCTCTTCTTCTCGCTTCTGGTTCTGGTTCTCTTCTTCTTCTCGCTTCTAGTTCTCGCTAGTCCACATACTGGTTCTGTATATCTTCTTCTTCTCTCTGTTTGATGCTGAGATTTTCTAAAAATGCATATTTTGCTGATATTTTTTTTTTGTTCCTGCTTTTTTTCTACTTCTACTTCTGTTGTTTTTTTTTTGCTTCTGCTGATTTTCGGATGCTGAGATTTTTTTTTTGCTTCTACTATTTTTTTCTTCTTTTGCTTCTATTGTTTTCTTTTCTACTTCTTCTTTTGTTTTTTTTTTTACTTCTATTTTTTTTTCTGCTTCAATTTTTTTTTTTACTTCTGCTTCTACTTTTTTTTCTACTTCTGCTTTTGTTTTTTTTTCTACTTCTGCTTCTGCTATTTTTTCTACTTTTGATTTTGTATAGCTTATAATTAATGCTATTTTGTTGATACTAGTGTTGACTTTCTGTAATGATGAATGCTAATTTTCTATAATCCTGATGCTGATTTTCTATAATCCTGAATGTTGATTTTCTGTAATGCTGAATGCTGATTTTCTGTAATCCTGATTTTTCTATAATGTATTTGAACTTGATGATTTTGCTGGTGGTAGTGTTGATTTTATTAGTGTGATAGTGTTGATTTTGCTGATTTCCTGTACTGGTTTGTTCCTTTTATTGTAGTATGATAGTGTCATTCATAAACAAATAAATGGCATCGTCGTCTGAAGGGAACAAAAAAGATCCAACATGAAAATATGCACACTTGGTAAATCCCCCAAACCCAAACAAGTTTAAATGTAATTTTTGTGGAAAAGAGTCAAATGGAGGTGTCTATCAGTCAAGCAACACCTTGCGGGGAACTCTACGAGTGTTATTACTTGTCCAAAATGCCCTGCGCATGTTAGGGAGGAGATTAGAGAATACATGGCTAAAAAAAGGAAGAGAAGAATCTAATGAGATGGTTCCAGACTTTGATGAGATGCCTAATGTTTTGGAGGAGGATGAAAATGCTATTGTAGAGATTATTGCACATCGTAAAAGATCCATGCTAGTTCTAGTCAAGGTTCTACACAAGCCACATCCAAACCAAAAAAAGCCAAGACAAAAAAGGCATATGAATGTATTCTTCATCCCTGATCCGAATGTTGTGGTGCAAAATCGAAAGACCAAGGGGAGACAAACAAAGATTTATGTCGATCCTTTCAAAAAGGAAATGAGAGAAAGAGCTATCACAACATTTTTCCGATGGATGTATGACACGGGAATTCCCTTTAATGTTGTAAACTATAAAGTTTTGCAACAATGTTTGAAGTTATTGGACAATATAATCCTGGTTTGAAACCACCTTCTTACCATGAGATTCGGGTCCTATTGCTCAACAAAGAAGTAGGTATATCAAGTCAGTGATGAAATATCACCAAGAGGATTGAGCAAAATATGGACGTTCCTTAATGGCCGATGGATGGACTGACAAGAGAGGGAGAACCTTGATTAATTTTTTAGTGAATTGTCCAAAAGGAACCATGTTCTTTGAATCCGTTGACACTTCTGCATACTCAAAGGATGGACAAAAAATGTATGAATTGCTTGATAATTTTGTGGAGCATATTTGTGAAGCTAATGTGGTCCAAATTGTCACCAACAATGCGGCAGCAAATGTGTTAGCAAGTATGTGCCTCTTGAAAAAAAAGAGATAACTAGTTGTTACATTGAATTGTTCTATGCACACTAATTGATAAAAAATCTTTGTTTAATAGAAAAGTTTTTGGAGGCAAAATGACCCCACCTATACTGGACGCATGTGTTGCCCACTACTTGGACTTAATGTTGAAAGATATTTTCAAGTTGTCAAACTTCAAGAGAACATTTGAGAGAGGAATAGCATTACACGGTTGTATTTATAACCATCCAACTCTGTTAAATATGATGAGACGATTTACCCAGTCAAAGGAGTTGATTAAGCCCGCAAAAAACTAGATTTGCTACAGCTTTTCTTACTAACAAGGATCAACCAACAAAAAGGTAAGTTGACAAAAATGTTCACTTCAGAGGAATGGACTACAAGCAAATGAACAAAAGAACAACAAGGCATAAGGACAGCACAAATCATTTTAATGCCTTCATTTTGGAGTAGTGTTGTCTACTCTCTTAAACTTACAGGCTCTCTTGTTCGTGTGCTTCAATTGTTTGATGGTGAGAAGAAGCCTCTCATGGGATACATTTATGAAGCTATGGACGAGGCTAAAGAAACGATTGCTAATTCCTTTAATGACAATGAAGAGAAGTACAAACACATCTTTGAAATCATTGACCGAAGGTGGAAAGTTCAATTGCATCGGTCTTTGCATGCAGCTGGGTATTTTTTGAACCCAGAGTTTTTTTATTCCAATCCAGAGGTTAAGAAAGATCAAGAAGTGGCCTATATAAATGTTTAGAAAGGTTGGTCCCAAATCCTGCAATACAAGATCAAATTGGTCAAGAGTTGAGCATTTACATAAAAGGTGAAAACCTCTTTAAATTGTCCATAGCAGTTAGACAAAGAACGACAAGAGCACCAGGTAATCTATGTTATCCCATAAGTTTATTTCTTATCATTGCATAAAGATGTTAGTTAATTAACTGTTATTCATTATTCACAGCTAATTGGTAGAGTACATACGGGGTCTGCAATTCCATATTTGCAGAGTTTTGCAAAAAAAAGTTTTAAGCCTTACTTGTAGTGCATCCGGTTGTGACCGAAATTGGAGTGTGTTTGAGCATGGGAGTATCATCCACAAACCTCTTCAATTACATTTTTTTTTATCCTATTATAATTTTTAATATATTGTTAATAAATTATTTCAGATACACACCAAAAAAAAAATAGACTATCTCAATCTTGTCTCAATGATTTGGTGTTTGTTAAGTATAATAGAGCTTTGAGACGCCGATATGATTCCCGTGACACAATGGATCTAATATATTTGAAAGATATTAATGATAGCAATAAGTGGCTGATTAGGAGAATGGATGCAGAAACAAATGAAGATAATAAGCTTGTGTTTGGTGTTGATACTTTGACATCGGGTGAAGTTGCTCGAGCTTCTGGAGTTGGGGAAAGTGGCCAACGGACTAGATCAACACCATTTACTAGGGTAACACCAAGGTTTACAAGATCGACAACTGGACTCATAAATGAGAAAGCCATAATTTCAGATGAGCCAGATTTGTGGAGAATATGGTTTCTTTAGTGATGAGGATTGATTTCTAAGTCCTTGAGATTTGTGGAGCATTGAATAAATGTTTAGTTGCTTAAATTGTGTGTCTTATGTTTTTAAATATTAAGATTTGGGATATTATTAATGTTTGTTTGAATTTAAATATTTAAGATATGACTGTTATTAAAATTTGAGATATTTTTATTATTTGTTTTAATTTAAATGTTTATGGTTTTACTTACATTTAAATATTTAGTATATATAAAATTAGAATTTAGAAGTTTAGAAGTAATTAAACTAAAATATTTTTTTTTTTTAACTGTTCGCTTCCTTTCTCACTTCTCACCTAGGCTTTAGGAGCCTTGGTCGTTTTAGTTCGCTTAACGCCTTAAATAATACGAAGGTGGACTACAGTCACGTAGTTTTTTCTTAAAAGGGTTTCCACATAAAAATTGTTTACCTTGTGTTTGTACTTGTTTATTCTATACTCTACGAATACTTATAATTTTACACTCACCCAAAACCTAGTTCACTCGCTTAGTCTCTTTGCATCCATAGCTGAATGGTTAAAGCGCTCAACTAGGCAAATTCGTAGGTTCGATTCCCACGGGATGCACTTGGAACATGCAATTCAATCCCTGCTCACAGAATTGTTACACATAGCTCACCCTTATAGCTTATGGGGTACTTCAATTGCTAGGAAAAGAAAAATGATAGATGACTGAAAATTCCGCTTAAAGATCGCAATTATAGTTAGAGTAGAAGTTCTCATCCATCATCTCTGTCGAGGCCTCATTTTACCTGTCAATTAAGGTTGATCTATCGAATTAAAATCTTCATTATCTTCGTCAACTAAGGATGAGATTACCATCGCATCAACTTTAAGGTCACCTTGATTTGGCTATTCACCGGATAGAACTTTTAGGGCTTCTCCCAAAGTGATATCGAAGGTCTACCTCCTTTCGTGCGCCCCTCACCTCCCCCATGAGAATGATCCACTAGATTAATTGCAACACCACAAACAATGGGACGTCTGCCTAACTATTGTCTTTATCCAGCTTCTCTAAGTTTACATGCACCATGGTTGGGATTGAAAATTTTACCAATAGTAACACGACATCGGGAATTAGTATGTTTTTTACCACCCGAAGGTAATGGCACAAGCCTTTAAGAGAGTTTAGAGAGTGTTGGTTCCTTCATTATTTTAGCAAAAGGTCCAGCAGCTTGAGCCAGCTTTGCACCTTGACCAGAATTACATTCAATATCATGTACCGAACAAGACATACAATATACCTTAAGTCCTTCTCAAAGATGATTTTTTACCATCTTCCTTCGTTTTGTTCCATGCCTAACCAAACCCTATGTAGGGTTTTTATTGAGAATATCCCCCTCAACACATACCCTTGCGACACTCGGTCAAGAAAGCCTAGGGTTTGGACCATCAATTAAGAGCACTTCACCTACTATGTTATCAATAGATCAAGGTAGTAGTCTTGAAAAAAAAACAGATCAGAAGATTCAAAAACTAAATACACATAAGAACGATTGAAGATTCACTGTCACGACTGATGTCATGCCAACTTCAACATTACATCATCATCATACTGACACCGAAACCCACCCCCACACTTAAAATTCCCTACTAATAATTGTGTAAAACCCGAGAAAAAAAATTAATTATTATCAAAATCTTAATCAAAAGGGTAAAACTGTAATTAGTTGTTAAAGCACCGGTCAAAAATGTGAACTTTTATATAATTCAGATGACAAAACTAACCTCACCGTTGAATTCGTCTCGCGAAATATAACTACCCAATAAATTTTTGTGAAATTCTAAGACAGTCAGATTTTTCACGTGTTACAAAGTGATCGAGTATCACGTGACTAAAATAATTGCGATTAAATTTTATTCACAGGACCCAAAAAAATAATTTAAAGTTAGTTCAATAAAAATATACTAAACTTAACACGGGACTAGATTTAACTAATTCGAAATAAAATTGAACCCGTTAAAAAGAAGACGTGTGGCACGATGTGGGTCACACATTTAAACTTTATAAAGTGGAAGACTTTTTTTGTCTTCCACTTTAGTCTTCTAGTAGCCAGCCGAGAGAGAGAAAGAGAAAAAGAAAAGGAAAAAAAGTAATTTTTTTGATCTTCTTCCTTAAATCTATGAAGATTAAACCGTTTAACCGCTTCGGGGCAAGATCGAAAGTTACCCAACCATACCAAATATCACATTTTTCTCCAAAAATATCAAAGACAAGAATCTAAAACTAAGGCTTGGGAAACTAAATTCGGGTTTTCCTTAGAGTTCTACTACGTGGGCTCACGCTACGAGAGGTAGGGTTTTCCGTATTTAGATGTAATTTTAACCTAAAAAATGGCATATGAAATGGGTAAGCTAAGGGTGTAAATCATATGTTAGGTCTTAACTAGTGGGTCAAATATAAGATTTATAATTAACCTTGTAATTAGTAAAATCCTATTATGATTAACTTGGTATAAGTTAATGTCAGTGGTTTAAAGCATGTTAGTTGTACATTAGCATGACTTGATGTTTTAATGGCATATCAAGTTTAATAAAATTATTAGCTTGTTATGTGATTATGAAATAATATATATGTAAAATGATTATTTAGCATATGATTAGTATAGTGGGTTTGTGCTTATGTTTATAGAATTAATAAACAATCATATTGGAAGTAATAAACATGCTAGTTGTATAAATTGATGTGCCCTCTAGGTGTTTGTTTAAATGCCTAGGTGATTGTTTAAATGCCTAGGTGAATATAAGTATATTAGTTGAGTTGATTATCTTACATAACATACTTAGAATTGTGAAGAGAAATGAGTCTGAATATAATGTTGATTCAAAAGAATTTACCTCTTACAAAATTGATGTTTGAAAATATCATTATATTGCATTCATTATGTAATGGACATTGTAAATAGTACCAAAGACAATTGCACATTGTATTGCATTATGCATGGGTTGCACTACATTTATGGGCTTTAACAAGGGTGGGAGTGTGTGTATGGTACGAAATCAATCACCACATAGCTGGTTGACCATGGGCTCGAGAAAGTCGCACCAAGTTCCGGCTGAGTTGCACGGAAAATTAAATGGATAAATGTGTTGGGGTGTAGCAGGAAGGTCTAGATTCTCCCTCAGGTGCAAGACTCGCTTACTTGGTTTATACACATTCTAACGGTGCAATTCCAGAAAAGTGTAACGGCAAAAACGGAGCCTCAAGTGAATTGTCCTGAAAATCCGTTGATGGTGTGATGTCCCATTGGTGAAATATCATAAATCATCTCCCCACAAAGACACATAAAAATAAATTAATTAGTCATTGAGTGTACATAACACGAATGATAGGGGCTTGGAATATTCAGATACATACGAATAACATTGCATGTGTTGTGAGAACCCAGGATAGGACTCGGTGTTGATATTGCTTGCGTGAGTCTCATCTCATGGCATGGCATGGCATGATTTATAGTATTTGTTCATAATAGACATATTTGAATGAATGCATGAAATGATCGCTGTATTTAGTATTTCATATGCATTTAGGTTGAGAGGTATTCTCTATAGAAGTTACCCTATAGAGAATACCACAAGCTTTTATAGGAACTTTTTTCACGTATCGCACAAGCTTCCACCGAAGGCGAGGCCATGGGCCCGATTTAACGACAAAGCTAGTCTGTGGCTCTTATTTTGACTGTGCAGTCCCTTGTATATGTTTACTTTTGGCCTTATATAATTTTTGTAAACAAAAACTTGTTTTATATTAAAAAGGCATGTATATGGGACTCTTTGGAGACATTTATTCTTTTATGAATGAATGTACGTAGAGATGATGATTATGGTAGTATCCGACACTATGCAATTGAGTATAGATTAATGGACCCAGTGTGATCAATGTTATATGATTGCATAGGTTGCGTTTTGGGTAGAGCTCCCCATACAAAAGAGAATCTATCCGAATTTTGTTCAGTTATGCATACCGATAAATGGGGTATAACGGCGTGGTATCAAGTTACATGATATTCATGGGTATTCCGCAGATTGATGGGTGATCAACAAGATAATTACAGACACCCAAATTTTGGGGTGTCGCAAATTGTGGTAATTTTTATTTATCAATTTAAAGTCATCTTGATTGGGTTTGTTATTTTTGAATTTTTTTGGAAAAATAGGGACGAATTGGTTGATTTGCTGATTTCAAGAGGATTTGGCGGTTTCTTCATTCCAATCTGGACTAAAGAGGTGAAATTGGACTTGAGAGTGTTTCTCTGTGATGCCCAATGAACCGGTCCTTGTGTGGTTTTGACATGGATTTTGGGCAAATGTAGGTGTCTGGCCAATTTATAGGAGTGTTTCCGGCAATAAGGCTTCAACAAGGGCTTTTTTTTTGGCTTCCTTCTTGTGTTTGAGGACCTATCTTCTGATTTCAACTAATAGGCTAATTTATAGCTTATGTTGTTTCGCAATTGGATTTATTTGAGAGCAGATTTGCTTTCTTTGTGTATTTCAGCCCTTTGTGGGATTAGTGTAGTGAATTTGTTTTACCAATTTCCTACTGCTCTCTATTTGATTGTGGTTTCTATTATGGCGACGTCAAAGGAGGCAAAGGCTTTGTCCCTGGATGATCAGATTCGCCAAGTCTATTTTGCAGTATTATCATTATCGGACTAGACCGGCTGATCTGACTGGTAAACCGGCAGTTCAAAGTTAAGAGGTATAAAATCTGATTTTTGGACAATTTTGCCCTAGATCTGTCGTCTTCTCCTTGGCTTCGAATTTTAGAGTCTTGGATCTCTATCTTCCCTTCTCCGCTTCAAATATTCCTCTAACTCTCTAAGTCCCCCCCCCCTCTCTCTCTCTCTCTCTCTCTCTCTCTTGTGGAGACCACCCGGTGTTGTACCATTTGAGGCGTAAGGCTTGTGGGAAGCTATTACGGTTCCAAGCTATTTTCGAAATCAATGTGTACAAATCTAAACCCTAGGAGCTTTGAGGTCTCTCTTTCATGTGTGTGTGTTTAGGTAGGTGGATGCCTACATCAATATATATGGTTTATATTGTTATTTTTGCTTTGGGTGGATTCTTGAATTTTTTGTTTATTGAAGCATTTTACATCTAATTTTTACCTTCATATATTGTAATATGCGAATTCTAGGTCTAATTCTTAGCTTCATGTTATTGCCAATTCCTTCTCTTTTAATTTTTGGTGTGTACCTTAATTTTTTACGACAAGGAATGGGAGCTGGAAGACCTAAAATGTCATGATCACACACACACACACACACAGACCCGTCTGACCAGTTCACCCAATGGTTAAACAAGTGAACCATTGCCCTGGTCCCTCTCTGTAGGGTTGATGTCCAGTCCAGTTCAGTTCTGATAACTATGTTATTTCATGATCAAATTCAACCAATTATCACTGTGAACCTAAATGGAACCAAGTATTATTCTTGGTCTCACGCCATTAAAGTGTTTTTACATGCTAAAAGGAATGTCAACTACTTGACTAAGAGTCGTCATCCTCAGAAGTCTAATGATTCTACGGACTTGGTGATGACGTGTTTGTGGCTTTAGTATATACGCCTCCAATGTTCAACTTCTTGATACAGTTAAAAAGATATGGAACTCTCTTAAGGAGATGTAGTCACAAGAACATAATGTGTCCTGTTATACATTAGATGTTGCTTGTACTTAATGTTTAATGTGAATGTCCCACAACAATATTGGGCCAATGTTATTCTTACTTAAGTATACCTTATAAATCAGATCCCACTTCCATCTTAACTAACCAATATCTTTCCCTATTGCTTTATCCTGATAAATGGACATTTAGTATCTCACCCCTCATGTCTTTGATTGTGTTGCATTCACTCATCTTCTTGGTGCAGATTGGGATAAACTTCCTCCCCGCTCGGACAATTGTGTTTTTTAGAATATTCTCGTACTCAAAAAAGTTATTGCTATTATGATCCTGTATCTCACCAATACTATGTCAATGTTGATGTTCCCTCTTGTGATTTGCCTGCCTTCTTTTCTACGGGTCAACACTCGTTTCCCAGATTTAGTAAACCTATGTTAGGTACAAAATAATGAATTTAGACATAGGCTCATTTCTGATTTGCCTTGATTCTCAAATGTTGCCATGGAGCTGAATGGTGCTCCTTACAATGACAAGTGGAACCAGTAGGTAATCTTCCGGAAGGAATTCACACGAGACTATAGTTTGGAAAATCACAAATCACATTGTGGGACATAATGTCGACCTGAAATCCCATATCTCTGACTTCAGTGTATTGCGTACTTATTTGTTACATACTATTAGGACGAGAGTAGAGATAAACTTATCTACATAGATCTTTGGGGTTATTCAGAGGGCATTTGATGAGGGAAGAGTTTATGATGTGCTTCTATTTGGTTCACTGATCACACGCATTTGCATGAAGAAGGGTGATATTGCCCTTGATTCGGATCAATTGAAGTCCCCAATGAAGCCATCTGGGAAGGGGACCATGAGACAGAGTGCTTCACATGCGAGGTTGGTCTTCACCCCTGTGGATGTAAAGGTCGAGTGAGGAGAGGCAAATCATAAGGATTTGATACCCTTAGCACATAAGATCCTTCTACTTCCAGAGCACCACCACCACCACCAGTTGAGTAGATCAACTACACCGCCACCAACAGCTGCGCTGTCAGCCAAGATGATATAGATCGAAAAAGAATTGAATAAGATTAAATTGAACGGTTGGATTGTATCTTTTATTTAATATTATCATAATTATGGAGTATTAAAGATAAGTTTGATCGGAGAATTATTATAGAATTTTAGTAGGATAAGAATTTGAGAGTTTAATTATGAAACTATTTTAGAATTTTATTAGGAGAGTAGTTTTTATTTTGATAGGAGATTTAGCCTATAAATATTGATGTAATCCCTATTATTTTATCAAAGTGTGATTCTAATAAAATTGTTCTCTGTAGAGAATTTTAGCAAGGATGAGATAAATCCCTTCCACACCTTCTTTCTTACTCTTTTTTTCTATCCTCTGATTTCTTCTCCTTCCTGTCCCGCATCACCAAATGTCCAAGATTATGGGCATGCTCAGTAGTACACAAAAGTATATGAATGGTCATTTGAGTCTCACCTTTCAGAGTATGGATGCTATTGATGGTAGGGTTTGAGAAGTCATATGTAAATCACAACTAAATCCATGATCATGATGCTAGGAAGTTGAAGACCGAAGAAAGGAGGCAACATGAAGTCAAAGCTACAAACTCACACTTGAAGATTTTCTTGGAATCCTTCTAAGCTTAGGAAAAATATGACCTAAAACCGTAGTTGCCTTCGTTATTTTTACTTTGGCTAATTTAAGTTAATTAAATTGGATTTATGATCAATATTGTACATGACTCGTGTTCGTTTTTATTGAAAAAGGTTTTTGAAACTCAAAATTTGTATTGAAAACATTAAATGAGACATGGAATGGATCCTTGTTGAGCAACGCCCCTTGGTGCTCAATATGACAAATTTTTTGCTACACTTTTGGCTTAAAAACCAGTGGGACTACCTGATGCTCGTTGTCATACAGCTAAAGCAGTCTCTGAACACTTGGTGAACAAAGGAGAAAAGGCAGCAGATTGACTGCGGGCTAAACCGCTAGAGTGGTCTACCAGACGGCTAGAGTGGTCTGGCTTGAGCGGTTCCAGTAGTTGAGGTCTAGAATTGTTAGTTTTATCATTCTAGTGACCACCACCCAAATGACCCGCTAGCCAATAGTTGTGAGCAATCTCTTCTCAAATTTGAGTTTTCTTGTGCCCTAATTCAACTCTATTTGCGAGACATACGTATACGGGACGGTCTTTTCTAACTAGGATAAAGCCTCTTTGAGTTAGAAAAAGACGAGAGAGACTATATAGAAAGCTTAGAAAACAAACTCTACCCTCCCTAAATCCAAATGGCCACAAAATCTACCTAGATCAATCTTATGCTTACACCTTCAACCTTGAAGAGTTAGAGAGATCTTGTAGAAACCATCAAACCCATAGTGGAGAAGGAGATCTAATGAGTATTCCAACTTCCAAGAGATGAAGGAGGATTCCAAAGCCGAATCATGGAGCTTGATTCGTCACCTAGAGAAGCTATTACTAAAGAGCTTGCGGTGGACTCCGAAGTGAAGATTCAAGTTGAGAAAACATCTAACTATAAACTTGGTTGAGGTATAAGTCATTAATCCTTGTAATCTAACTTTGAGTACCGTGAATTAGGTTAGGTGTACTATGGTCCCGTGATTTTTCTCGCAAGAGTTTCCACATAAAATTATTTGTCATGTGTTTGGTTTTGTTTCTTCCTTACTCTACACATACTTGCATTCTTTACACTCACCACTTGTTTGATAATATGTTTGAATGATTGATTCTATATATTTATCTCCTTGTGGTTGTGGTTTTAGCGATTGGGCTTTGGAGGGATAAGGTTGGTGGATTATGCTTGGTTGTGATTGAGCAAAGATTGGCATTTTACATACATTGAATAATTGAAGGGTTTTGCTTGTTAAATTGAGAGGTTTAAGCATTAATTGAATAATTAATTGATAATTGTGTGAAATAGGTTTTAATAGGACAAAAATTCCACGATTGAGTGCTATAAGACCTATTCAACTCCCCCCCCCTCCCACTCCCCAAGGTAAATCCACAACTATAACTAGCATGTCGGGTACAATCCAAATGCACTCTCAGAAACCCTTCGCATCAGTTAAAAATTGGCAGAGCAATGACGGGACAACTAAGTACAGGTGAGAAGAAGTACCAGGTGACAACCAAGCTTTAGTTGAATTACTTGGCAGTGGAGCCAGCCACAAAATGTTTCGCAAATTCATTGAATCATCGTACGTAACATTCGACCCTGAGGAAAAATAATTAAAAATTTGTTAATACCATAA